ATCATGTTTTCATCTACTCCTATGTGCTAGCTCCTATCAAAAACAACATATCCTGGTGCTATCAAGTCAATGTTATAGAACAGTGATAAGGCTTTATAAAGTTTTAATATCATTATATAAAATATATATATCTGACATATTTCTTTCCAAATTTGAATGATTTTCACATGTCTTCCTCATTAATCAACAGAAATATAAAATACACCACTAAACTCATGAAGTAAGTTTACATTAAGTTGTCAAGTCTTTATGAAAACCTCTGGCTGGCAAAGTGACTTCTGAAACATTTGTAAGTGACAAAAAGATTGGCAAAATGATTGGTAAAATTAGTGAAGATGCAGAAAACGTATGAATGAGAATGAATATTTTCACAATACAAGAGATGCGTTTGATGGGTTTCAATTATATCTTTGTCAGAGATACATGTATTTCTTGATGAAGATATAATCAAAATCGGTCAAATACATCTCTTGTATTGTAAAAATATTAATTCTCATTCATCCCTTTTCTACATTAGTGAAGATGTTTAGAACAAGAGTCATTACTATAATGAGACTGACTGGTTTACATGCAGCAGTCAGATACTATGCTGCATTGCTTTTGAGTCTAATTGAAGCACCAGAGAGACCCATACAACGACTGGTAGTAAAACTAGTTAAATATACTATCTACTATTAGCTCAAAGCAGTGAGGTATTCATAAAATCACAATACCACTGGTCGAGAAAAAGTAGTTGCCATACAATACAGTCTTTTTTCCTACATCTGAAGAGCATGTGGCTGCATTATAAAGGCTGTAACATTGGCACTGAGCCAAGAAAACAAGCAAAAGTTTGTAGGTACATACTTAATACGTTTTTTTCAGCCCCCACATGGCATTTTGACTGAAGGTACCTAAAAATTCATTTTGATAAAAGAGAGGTTAAAGTACTAATAAAACCAGTCTATTTGGAAGAATTTCAAGTACCTAGCTTGCCTACAACCTTATAATAATAAGATCAAATATGCCAACCAAAAAGTCAACAAAGCAATCTACAAAATAAAAACACGATTACATTTATCTACATCAAAGATACTTCTGGAAAGTTACTAAAAAAACAACTAAGCAACTAAGACAAGAAAAAAATTGACAGATCTTTCACAAAGGCAACACAAGAAGAAAAGAATCTAGCATGCTCTTGCAGAAGAGATAATACCCCTGAAGGTATAATCCCAATACCAGGCTCCTGTTATAGTTAACGTGAGAGAAGGGACTTGAGATAAAATAAACACGAAAAGAGAGAAACATAAGAACTGTTTTCTTCAGAACTAATGACTTCTATAACATATAAGACAATGCAGTTTCTACCCATATATAATAGTTATACAACACATTATTTACTTTCTACAACTGTAAATAAATCAACATTTACACAAACAATATCCTTAAGAAAAAAAAAATTAAATCATCTTACCATCTGATTAAGTCCATTAAAGCAGCATTACATAATAAAATATGATAGAATACTCAAAATTATTTCTCAGTAAAACACAACATATCAAGCATTTCCATGATCATCTATAACTGAGCAATTTTGACAGCATGAAACATTCTTACCTCCTGAGAATTTCCCGTGAAAATAATATCAAAATCCAATTAGTGAGCATCGACTAATTTTGATAGCATGAATAATTCTTACCTCCTGTGAATTTTTCCATGAATTGCAAAAATCCAATTAGTGAATATTAACCTATCTATCTCTAATTATAGTGATATTCAAATATTACATTTAAATATCATATCCAAATTTTAGCATACAATTCTTTGTTATCTCCTATAATTCATGGAAATAAAACCATAAAATACTAATAGTAATTAAGATACTATTTCTTCAATTTAAACTGTGTTAAGTTTGGATAAAATAAATCTATTAATGACAAGGAATATTTTTGGAGAGGATGAAATGTCAACACAGATAAGCTTATAAACTTACCACATTAATTTCTGAAACAAATATGAATTTTTCCAACTGATATAAAATCATTGGACAAGAAATCTATAAAAACAAACTGTTATATTTACTACAATGATAATCTACGATATATGAACTATCAACTCGAAACGTAGACTCTGATAATATTATAAACATCTGTATCAATCTATCCTATTTACAAATAACAATGCAAGAAATAACCTAATGTAAATATATAAGGTTAACATTTGATTTTCAAAAAATTATTCTTATGCACATCATGGGATTTCCAGCACCCATTCAAAGAGAAAAAGAAACGAGAAAAATCCACTAACCTGGTGATGGCTTAAGTTCTTTCAGCATTTCCACTGTGGCTATGGGACAAACACACACATCTTTTAACACAGGACAAGTTACAGGTTCTATGCAACAGACACCACAGTAAATTATTTCTGAGACAAATGCACTGATATTAGTAATAGCCTATGCAATATACATACTTATTAGATCAAGTACAAAGGACATAGTAGTTAAATATCCTTAAAAATC